GCCTGGTTGGTGGTACCTCTGAGACTCCCAACCTGAAGGTTCTTGCCCATCTGGCTACTAGAACTGGGTACTAGACCTGAATATCTGTTTTACCAGGCTAGCCTTTACAGTAGAGCCATTGAAGATCCAGCTACCTTTCTACTTGGGTCTTTCTAAATGGACTTTTTGTTATCCAATTTCAATAGATTTACATAGCTACAAGAACTTATCTAGTGTTTGCACTATCCGATTTGTCAGTTTGCATTCCTCTGTATAACTCCAATATTGCACAGATGTCCTATGACCTGCCAGTCATGCTGATGCAATTGCTATTACAGGTATCCTAACCCAATTATTAATAACAGTTGCTATAATACGAATATTATATAGGTAATTATTCAAATTTTCACTATCAATGAGATTTGAACACCCAATCTACCACTTGAAGGATTGACAATCTGACTACTTCACTAGGTCACTACACCCTTTTTAAATCCTATTCATGCTTTTTTTTATTACAATATTATATATAATAAGAAAAATTTTAATTATTTATTTTTTTAATTTAGTATTAATAAAAATTTAATTGTAAAAAATGATGTATAAAAATATTACAAATTGTATATCTAATTTATAACTTGTATTACTATCTTACTATATAATAATTAAAAGAACAGTCTAAGAATATAAACATTTGATTAATATTAAATTTATATATATAATTATAAAATAATTACAAAATTATTGCAAAATAAATGCAATAATAAAAAAAATTACAACTTTATATTTTATAACCAATATTGCTATATAAAACTGGAAATTTTGTTATATATATAAATAAAAAATAAAACTAAATTTTATCTTTTATTAAAAAAAATTTAAAAATACAAATTAACAAAATTAAAAAAAAGTAATAAAACTAATGTAATTAATAAAACTGATGAAACTGATTGATCAATCAAATTAATAAAAATTTATACAATATAAAAACCTTAAAACTATCCTAATTTTAATTTGTAAATTTATGTAGTAATGCAGTCCAGCTAGTAGCAAAATAAAATTCATATTATAAATAGCTATATTATAATACTATTACTTAAATCTAATTAATTGCAACATTAAAAAACTTACTTATTTTTATATTTATACTAATAATCTAAACCAGATTTTTTTAATATATATTGTAACGGTCCTAGACATAACTACTCTAGAATTCCCTATTCATAGGGTAGCCGTAGGATCATTAGCGTAATGTAGAGCATCACAATACTCGAAAGAGGCGTTGGATTTGGCGAGTGTAAGGTGGGTATTCTTTATTACTATATTCTATATCTTGTTCTCTTCTGTATTTACATTTTAAGCACATTACTTATATACTTTTTTCACTATCTGCTAAATATACTATTTACGCTCTATACACTATATATACTATATTTACTTTATATGCTATATCTACTTTATGCACTATATCTGCTATATATGCTATATACGCTATGTTTACTAATTACGCTAAATACCCTATATCTGCTAATTATGCTACATATATGCTATATTACTGTTTAATTATGTAATCGTCTTTAATAAATTATTGTTGATCCTATTTTGGATTGTGACATTTCTCCTTACTTTAATATATTCATTCCACGAATTAGATCAAGTTTCACAGGTTTTCAGCGAGTTGGTACAGTGAGGACATGACATTTACAACTTGCAGGGTGGCTAATAGGCGGTCGCTGATTATTTTACTAAGAGTACTTATGACTTTAATTTTTTTTATTTTTTTTTTATTTTTTTTTTATTTTTTTTTATTTATTTTTTTTTTTTGATTTACTGATTGCTAATTATTTTCTTATTAGAAATTTTCCATCAGGGTCGAATATCTTGAAGGCTAATCGGCATATCGATAAGTATTGGATGATACTTTTCGTTTCGTTGGTGCGTCCCTCTCTGATCTCTAACCTTTGCTTCTTCTTTTTCTTATATCCATCATTCAAAACCAGAATAGTTATTTCAGGGGTCAACAAAAGTACTTTCAAGAGTTGAAAGTGATATGCAGGAACTTCAACAATTGCTTTCTTTTCACCTTTAGGTTCTTGATCATGTGATTCTGGATAAGTTTTGCTAGTTTTACTGTCTTTTTCATTTCGTTCACCCATGCTTTAAACTTATTCACCTTTTCTTTCTATTTATCACAGGCATAGTCCAGGTTTTCCAACAGAGTTCGTCATCCATCTTCAATGGATTTTGAATACCATTCACATGCTGGTTTCTCATCTCTACCAGTTCCAATTCTTTTGTCTTTATCGATTCGTTCGTCCTTTCCGATTCCAATTCATTCATCTTTTCCAACTCCATTCTGTTCATCCTTTCCAACTCTATTTTGTTCGTCTTCTTCAATTCCATTTCATTTGTCTCCTTTAACTACAATTTGTTCATCATATTCAACTCCAATTCATTTGTCTTCTTCAACTCCAATTCCATTTTCATAACAATAACTAGCATTAGATGTTACATTAGAATCTCCCATATCTGCAGACTTTCAATGGTAAGTAGATGCCTTCATTTCGTCCTTTTTCGCTTTAATACCATTTTCATTACAGTGACCAACGTTATACGTTCCTTTGTTATGTCCCATATCTGCAGGTTTTTGATAATAAATGAAAGCTTTATGTTTATCTTTTTCAACAACAATTCCATTGTAATAGCATTTTTCGACATTATATATTCTATTAATGTCTCCTAATTCAACAGCTTCCTTAGAGGATTCGAATGCTTTATGGTCATCATCTTCTGCTCTAATTCTTTTTTCGTAACAATAGCCAAGGTCATATGATCTCTCAACATGATTTATGTCTGCAGCTTCATTTGCCAAACCTGTTTGAGTGGGTTCTTGACAATACATGAGGGCTTTAGGTTAGTTCTTCCCAATTTCAATTCTATTTCGACATTGTCCCTTAGGGTTATTGTGTCCATCTTTAGCGAATTTCGAATGCTGTTCAAATGCCCTTAGTTCGTCTTTCTTGACTCCATTTCGTCTGTCATTTTTAGCTCCAATTCCTTTATTTTCATTCTTTAACATGTTCTTAACAAATTTTATTGTAAATTCTAGAGCCCCAGGTACTTGCTCAGCATTAAGGGTGTATCCAAAATTTACATCGACCATTTCTTAGATCTTTTGAATTTGCTCTCCAGTAAGTGTCGTAAGAAGCCTGGTACACCTTAAGTCTAGTCTTCTAACTACTGGGCACATAAATACGTCATGTTCTTTCTTGTTGCAGTAAGAGCATTGGGACCTTTTTCAGAAGTACTTTGGTGCTGGTTCATGATTTCTGCAGTTCCTCTGGGCTTGCTGTTGTTGGGTCGCTTTCATTCGAGTTTTGTATTGTTAGCAGTTTCTGTTAAATATGGTCGGTTTGTATATTTCATACAATTTTTTTTTGCTATATATTTTATTTTAGTTCTAGTGATTGTAATTGCTATTACTATGATGATATTTATTATACATTCACTTCAAACTTCCATTAACTGTAAGTTTATTTTTCCAATCCTGTAACCTTATTATGTCTATTATTAATTAAATTTTTTTTTTTTTAACTCTTAGGCTCCAAGTTTGTTTGTTGATCATTGGGCATTAGATATTGGGCTAATCTAACCAGGAAGTATTTTCTTTTTATTTACTCTTTCTATTTGTTGGTTCTATTGCAATTTCTCTATACTAACAGTTTGTTTTTTTTTTTTTACTTTTTTTTGTTTTTTTTTAAGTTATCCCGGTATTACTAGATCAGTGTATCGACTTTCGTATGGCATCTGATGTGAAACAATTCGGGTAGGAAGTATCTACTTTTGGTTTTCTTCATTTGTTGTTTCTATCAATACTAATTTTTTTTTTTTTGTTCTTGATACTAACATTTTATCTTTCTTTTGGCTTGCCAGAACACTGAAACCTGGGCTGGATTCTGTTCTTCGGATTTCAGATAAAGTATTACTTTTTTTTTTTTTTTTTGTTGTCCTTTATCAATTTACTAACAGAAATTTTCTTTCTCTTCTATTTTTTTCCAATTTCTGGTGAGTACGTCTACAATGGGTATATTCTTTCTTGCTGATATGTTGGCCAATTTTTCTCCTGATAAGTTTTTCTTTTCTTTTTTTTCTTGTTCTTTTAATATTTATCTTTCTCTAATTTAATTTACTTTCTTCCTTCACACGGCATGTCGGTAAGGTCTCGATTTGATGATTTAATCCTTTGCCAGTACATTGGCTTTCATCCTTCATATGGTGCATCAGTGAGGTGTTGGTACGTTATTTCAAGAGGCGATCCTTTTTTGCTAGTATGTTGGCTTCTTCCTTCACATGGTACGTCAGTGAGGTCTCGATCTGAGACTTGGTATATCGATCTAAGAGGTGATCCTTTCTTGCCAGTATGTTGGCTTCTTCCTTTACACAGTATGTCAGTGAGGTCTCGATCTGAGACTCAGTATGTCGATCCAAATGGCGATCCTTTCTTGCCGGTACATTGGCTTTTGTTCACACGGTACGTTGGTGAGTTTCTTTTTTAATAATTACTGTCTTTGTTCCTTTGTTTTTCTATTAACTTTCTTCTAATTTAACTTTTCTTGTTTTTCGAATCAGGGGGGGTCGGACGATCTTACAGTCACCAACAAATGTAATGGTCCTAGGCGTAACTACCCTAGAATTCCCTATTCATAGGGTAGCCATAGGATTGTTAGTGTAATGTAGGGCATCACAACACTCGAAAGAGGCATTGGATTTGGCGAGTGTAAGATGGGTATTCTTTATTACTATATTTTACATCCTGTTCTTTTCTGTATTTACATTTTAAGCGCATTACTTATATACTTTTTCCCTATATGCTAAATACACTATTTACGCTCTATACACTATATATGCTATATCTACTTTATACGCTATATCTACTTTATGCGCTATATCTGCTATATATGCTATATATGCTATGTTTACTAATTACACTAAATACCCTATATCTGCTAATTACGCTACATATATGCTATACTACTGTTTAATTATGTAATTGTCTTTAATAAATTATTGATGATCCTATTCTGGATCATGACAATATAGACAAACTCTGCTAACTCTGCAACTCTACTATTAAAAAATCAATAATTATTAGTAAAGCTTATTTTTTATATTACCTACTTATGCTAGAAAAGATTTTAAAAATTAATTCAAGTTTTATTTTATTTTATTATAATTTTAAAACCAAATTTTTTAACAATAATCTATAATTATTTATAGTTTTAAATTAATATTTATGTAATAGTAAACCTTTGTTTCATTTTTTTATTACTAGAAAAATAAAATACAAATGCAGTTAAATCTTTTAATAATGGGCTTTTATAATGAATTCTACATATAATGAACTAGAAATTCTTAAATTTTATATTAGTTTAATATAAAAATAATAGTTCTATATAGTAATTTTTTATACTTAGAGCTAATAGTTTATTCTATAGTATTTATTATATAATATTTGATTCTTTATAAATTACCTATCTGTCAAATATCAAATATTTAATAATAATAAAAACTTTGTAATCTTTATAGTTTCAAACTTGATTTATTCATTACTCTATTTTTAATATTTATTAACTAAACATTATGTTAATAAAAAAATTTTTATTAACTATTAAATCTATCATCTTTATATAAAATGTCATCTTTTAAAATAGTTTTGATCTTTTATTATTTTATAAATAATTTTGTCTAATAACACTTGTACAAAAAACTTATTAACAAATTATACAACACCTTAACACCAAAAAAAACAAATTATACAACTACACGCTGTGCTTAATAGCCACACACAAATATTTTTATTCATCAACATGATTTAGACTTTTTCAAAATTTTAAATAATTTGACTTTACTAAGAGCTTTAACCTTCATCAAGAGTTCACTAAGAGTTTCATCTTTCATCAGGTGTTTTAATTTTCGTCAGGGGTTTAGCTTTCATCAGGGGTTTCATCATTCATCAAAGGTTTCATCTTTTGTTAGAGTTTCATCAATTTCGTCTTTCGTCAGGTTTAGATTTGATCTTTCATTATTTTCTCAAAACAGTTTCGTCTAACAAGTATACTTATAGTAAACGTTTACATAGCAAATCCTGGATAAGCTATTGTTGAGGTACTGGTGGCTTTTTATTATGTAGTAAATCTATGTAAAATCACTAAGCCTGTTGAAGTGCTGTTAAAGTAGAGATACGATTTGCAAACTAAATTGGCGTAAATATAAATAAATCGATGAGACAAGTATCATATTTCGAATAATACTTCGATCGATAACAAACATTTATAAGAACGATGTAAAAACAACATTAATCGTATTTATCAATATGTCTGCTTACATATTTGATATTGTATTATGCCTCAAAGTCGTACTTTAATTTAGTATGAAAGTTTTTTCGTTCGAGATCCGTTAGTTTAATATAAATGCATATTCCACGGTCCTTAATGTCCGCCCGTGAACATTTCTGTTGATATTTTTATACCGTGGAGATATCAAAAAATATTACACGGTATGACATCATCAGTAAAAATTTTAATCAGAAACGTTACGGGCATAATGACTGTTGAATATATCAGATATTACACGTTGTGGGACCCGAATGGACCCTGGCCGTTCGGGTGGGATATTACTTAATTAGGGAAGGAGTCGATCGTATCCGTC